AAGGCTTGACCTTTTATTTTCCTAGTCCAGAATAACCATTTCGGACATAATGATTACTTTTAAAAGAATGGTTATTTTTTCGTAACTATAAACTAAAATGAGTATAGATTACTCAATTTTCCATTTTTCTAAAAATAAAAAATTAATCGATTCATAATAACAAAATATGTTAGGGTGTAAAGTCATGCTTGGATGAGGCTTTACCCACTTGTATGTGTAATGGAAGTGAATGACACTCATTTTATGAAAGGAACCATTGGGAGTGTTCGACTAGAGAGAAAAATTGTATACAAATCCATTTGTATAATCTTTCTTGATCTAATATGAGCTTTCATAGATTTATTTACTCATTGTGTTCTTGATTTTACATGTTGATTCACTAGATCGTTCATATTCTGCACATGCCATCTTAATCTACACCACATTATTTGGTATCAGAGCGGGTGTCTTTATTGGATCAAGAATTGATCCTTGATGGCTATCTTGATTTGGTGATTCTTTTTGTTCATTGATCTTCATGATTTAGAGAGTTTTTGGATTCTAGAAATCAAATTCATCTTTGATTATGTTCAAAATTCGATTTTCTTCACTAGAATTCAAGTGATTTTTACTTTCTCTCTCTAGAAAACCCATTCAAAATCACTTTATCTCTCTAGAAATCTTCAAGTTTTTGTAATCATGGTGAATTTGCCTTACAATTCTTGGATTGTGATCGTTGAAGGTATCAAATACAAAGTCAATAAAGATCAATATGATGGGTTGGTGTATGGTTTCTTATGGAGGATTGAAGGATGATCATGGAAACTTGAAATTTCAACCACTTTGTGAGACCAAATGGCTGGCTGATATTACATGGACCATAACAACACGTAGTAGAGAAAAGATTGGAGAAGAAAAATATTTGTTCAAAAAGAAATATGTTTCTCTTATTGGAGGTCAATGTGATATTCTTGATGTTCAAGAAAAAGGAGTTCAAGTTGATTTTCAAGATGAAAAAGTTTTTTTTCTCAATTGGAGTTCAAACCGATGATATTATGTGTTCTTGTGATTCGTTTGAAGGAATGATTCCATATCGAAAGCCGGTGATTCAAGAAGTTCACAAATATCAAACTCCAAAAGATTTGATTCAAACTCACAAAGTTCAAGTTGTGGAAAGTGGGTTTGTTCATGAAATCAAGTCTTCAAGATGCAAAAATATGAGAAAGAAAAAGAAGAAGAAGATTAATCGGAAAAATAAGCGGGTTTATTCACAAAAATCGTCAAATATCATTGTGAAATCTAAATCCGTGAAGCAAATTTAAGTTCCAAAGCAACAATCTCCAAGTGTCGCATTGAATTTGAAGTCAAAACCCAATAGTGTTGGTGGTTCTTTTGAAGATGTTCTTGGATCGACAAAGAACATGAAGAACGAGATGTACATCACGCAAAGTGGGTGGTACAATGTTCGATTTGGAGACTTTCTCATTCTAACAAAAGAACCAAGATCTTCTAAATTCAATTCGTTTGTTGAAAATGGAACTCGATTCATCAAAAAGGTATCTCAAATTCTCAAATGGGTTCCAAAACATCCATGATTTCGATTCGTGCTTTACAGTTTTCAATTTTTGATCGATTTGCCTCATTGGATCTAATTCATTTCAACCCCATAGTTGATCCAATTATTTTTCTTAAATCAAAAGTTCAAAAATAAAAATCAAATTCCATTTTTTTCGAAGTATTGTTCATGTTAATTTTCGAAGCCCAATCTGTGAGAATGAATCCAATACGCTTCATCCATTATTAAGCCAACAATGTACGAATCTGTTATTGTACGTTAAAATTGAGCCCAATCCAATATTTGTAATCCGTTACTTTTCATCAAGAGCCCAATGATTATTAAACCTATTTATACAAAAATGTTGAAACTCGTCTTTGTCTTATGAATACTCAGTTGTACGCAATTGCTTTTGACTCGACTTTTATTCATGATTTTCTTGCGTATTCTGTTTCGCATATGCAATGGTTGATAATCGATCATTGATTCGTAATTCTAAACTTCTGAATCGATCGAATATGATTTGGTTATTATCAGTCGATTATGATCAAGACTGTAGAAATAAGTTGATATGTGAATCCATGATTTTATTGAAATTGGTCAAGATCTACGAGCTTTTTGTGAAGAACATTTCATTTATCATGTTTTTAATCTAAAATCAGGAAATAGAATCATGAATTTGGTGTTTATTGATCTTTGACTTTGTAAAGTCAAACTGTGAAAAAGCCACAGTCGATGTTTATGAGGTGATTTGATGAATTGGTATCGACTGAGAAAGAAGATTGGACTGGGAATAGCGAATGGCTGTTGATTTTGGTTTTTGTATTGATTTCGAAAGTTTGAGAAAAATTGTTTTTGATGTTCGCTACTGAGCAGGAAGGTTTTGGGAATTTCAATTGAGAATATAGGGATATTCGAAATTGTGATAACTAAGGAGAAGGATTTGATGTTAGGAATGGTTGATGTTAACTGAAGAATGATAAATGGACATTGTAAAGTCGATTATACTGACTTTCTTATCTGATAATCAAATTGGGAGTATTGGTTTGACGAACAAATTGGATTCGAACTGGTACTTGATTTTGGAATTTTGATTTTGAGTAGATTGCTTTAATGTCGATGGTTCGTTAAGATGATTGAGATCGGGTTGCTATTGATAAAAAGCGAATAAAGTCGACGGTGTGTAGATGAACAAATATCGACTTGGCTAACGAATGGGGAAGAAGATTAGAAATTGAAGGACTATTGATTGAAATTGATAGTCAACGATTTGGTTTTGGAATCGTTGATAGTGCGAAGCCATAGATTTTGAAAGAGAATGCGGGTATTCGATTTTAGGGTCTCAGTGTTTTGATATTGATGAACTGGGAAATCGAAATGATTTTGGAGTCGCTCGATCGAAGCCTTTGATTCGATGATTGATTGGGAATAGATGACGAAAAAATCGAATGGTTAACTGATGATTTAGGAAGGTTTTTACTGTACGAAGGGTTACTATTCACCAGAGAAGATTCGTGTGCTTTGTATTCGTATGAATTGAGAGAAGGAAAAACGAATTTTCGTATATAGCTCTTGACACTTCGCATGTTTGTCACTTTTCACCCGAGGATAATACTTCGTATGAATCAAAGTTTCGTATGAATTGAAAGAAAATAGGCAGTTTCGAATTTGACCCCTGAACCTTCGAATTTTTGTCACTTCGAAAATTAACTCAAGTGTCGAATGTTTGACACTTTTCACCAAAATTCGAATTTTTTTTGGAGCTTCCTATGATTTGTGCATCAAGGGCAGAATTTTCGAAAATGGTCTCTGAGACTTCGAATATTTGGCAGTTTTCATCCAAATTTGAAAATGATTGTTTTTTGCTGAAATTGAAGAAAGTGCATTTCAGGCCCCAGTAGTTTGTGCGAATTTACATTTTCTACCCAGTTTCGCAAATGGGGAGAATTTCGAATATTTGGCTGTTTTTGGCGCAATGGGTCCCTGCAAGTTTCAGAAAGTGACAATTTCTACCCGGTTTTTGGAAAATCTTGCAACTTTCACCCGAAAGTAAAATATTTTCACAAATTGGAAATTTTTTTGTGGTTTTTTCGTGATTGTTTTTCCATGCAAGATTTTTGGTGATTCATTTTTGGTACACATCAAGGGGGAGTTTTGTATTGTTCATTCCTCGGGCGCTTCTCACCCTTAATGGGTTTTATAATCATTTTTTGATTATAAAAAGGGAGAGAATGATGGGTATTCGAAGCTTCTCGGGTTTGTCGGATATTCATTTGTGGATTTGAAGACCTGTGTTACTTCGAGGGGGATTTTGGACTTGATCGTGCTAGCTCGTTGGATACTAAAGCAGTGACATCCAATCCTAACTTTGAGGGGGAGAATGTTATGGTGCAAAGTCATGCTTGGATGAGGCTTTACCCACTTGTGTGTGTAATGAGTTTCCTTTCCTTTATAAGGAAGTGAGTGACACTCATTTTATGAAAGGAACCATTGGGAGTGTTAGACTAGAGAGAGAAATTATATACAAACCCATTTGTATAATCATTCTAGATCTAATATGAGCTTACACAAATTTATTTACTCCTTGTGTTCTTGATTTTACATGTTGATTCACTAGATCGTTCATATTCCGCACATACCATCTTAATATACACCACATCAAAATACAATGACTAAATATAAATTTTGCAGTTTACTTTGGAATCATCCAAAAAAATTATTGACAAAATTGCAAGAATGGTCCATATGGTGTGTCAAAACTAGAGTATTTGGGCAAAAAAAGTTTGGACTAGTATCAGTGGTCCAAATGTTTCATTTTCTTGCGAGTTTAAACTTTTTTCTAAAGACAATTTCGCCCTTATTATTTAATTTTTCATTTTTGTTTTATTAACAACAATTAAAAAACATTTAAGAATAAAACCAAAATAAAATACCTTCTTTCTCTGTCACTCACTCACACACACACACTCTTTCTCTCTCTCTCTCTCTCCCCCTGTAAACATCTAGTAATCTCAACTCCATTTGAGAATCAAAAAGAGATGTGAAGACCCATTCAAGCGAGGAAAGATCAAGAAGACTAGAAGGACGTGTGAATTGATGTGTGTATTTATATTTGATCTTTCTTGTGGTTATTGATCCAACCCCTCCACCCTCCTAACATCAATCGCTACTGCTACCTCAACCATAAAGCTCTTAAAGAAACAAACCCCTAAGTGAACTTCAATCAAAGATTAGAAATCACCCCACTCTGCCTCTGCAAACCACACTTAGATGAACAAGAAAACAATCAATTCGTCTATATCATTCTCCGACGACCTCACAGTTTAAAACCCTAACATTAGTAGGAATAACGACGACAGTTGATTGCTAGGGTTTTCGGATACAGATTGCTAGGCGACGACGATTGGAGAAGCACTTTTGTTCTTGAAATTGTATGAAAGGGAAAGAAAGGTGCAGGCATCGATTCTTATTTTGAAGGGTAAAGTTGTTTATGGGTGATGATGTAAGCATTAACGGGAGACCTCCTGTTTATAAAGGGATGAGAAAATCGGAAGTCAAGGCCATCGTCGTTGGCCTCAATGTTAGTTGCTCGAGAAGCCATGAACTGAGCCTGAACTTGAGACATGACGAGAGATGAAGAAGCAGTGATGGTAGGGGGGAGTGTTGGTAGATTCGCCACTCTATTTGTGTGGGTAAACCGAACTTGAGATCCACCCTTGGTCCATTTGAGAAGGAGAGTTGATTGCATCGATCTGAGTGTGTTTTTAAATATAATCCTTGATTCAAATAAATTTTGTTCTTCAACGCGCATATAATTCTCTAAGGAAGTATTGAATGATTTTTATTATCGTTTCTGGAACTCAAGAACAAACCCAAGGATATAGGGACAACTCAAGAACAAACCCATATTTTGTGTTTGATTTTCATTTCCGGAACAATTTCAAGGAGTATTCTTGAGTGTGTATGTGTTTATAAGAGATCGTGTCTATGTGTTCTTGAGTGTGTGTATGTGTGTGTATTTTGACAAAGCCATAAAAGTTAAAGTACATGTTTTTTCATAACTATGCGTGTTCTTGAGTTTTAAAGAACAAACCCAGAGAGAGAGAGAGGTAATTTATTTTTGTTTATTTTAATTGTATTTAAATTGCTAGTAATAAAACAAAAATGAAAAAGTAAATAATAAGGGCAAAATCGTCTTTATAAAAAAATTCAAACTAAATTGGATCGAACTTACAAAAAAAAAAAAAAAATGAAACTTTTGGACCATTAATATTATCTCTAACCGTTTTGATCCAAACATACTTACAAAAAAAAAAAAAATGAAACTTTTGGACCATTAATATTATCTCTAACCGTTTTGATCCATGCTAGTTATGACATACCGTATGGATGATTCTTGCAATTTTGTCTAATTTATTTGTCATTAAACCTTTTCACTATAATCTTACATATTTTTTCTGGTAAGGAACACGTCTTCAATGAAAAAGACATGATTTTTGTTTTCTACCGGGAAAACGGAACAGACATCACAGAAATTATCTTACCCAAATCCCTCTCTGCCTCTCCTCCGTTATCACCTAACCCTAAGCTGAGTTTCCCTGTCTTTCCGTTTTCAATGGGACAACAAGACTCAGGATCGTGTCTCACCGAAGAAGAGGATACCAAATTCAGCGATTCCCTTGAAGAATTCCCCCTCGTAGAGGCTTCCAACTCTATTGAGTTTGAATACTCAGTCCCCCAATCCAACTCTTCATCAGTTTCTGAGATCGATGACAACTGCTGGGACTCAATTTCAAACCTATCAAAGCACAAGCCGGAGTCGCAATCATTTCCTTCCCATACAGGTGTCCGACGCCGGCGACACATTCCCCGACAAAGTTCGAAAGAACATCCATTGTCTCCTTTTAAAAATAGTCCCGATGGTTTAGTAGATTTTGATGTTCATGAATCTATTATTTCTCCGGGAAAGAAGCACAAGTTATGGAATTTGAAGGATACTGAGAAATTGAATGGCAAACTGAATCTTACTAAAGTTCGTGCTAATTCAGATAGAGTTGGGAAGCGATTTGGCGATGCAACAAGTGTGAACTCCTCGAATTCTAGCGTAATCACCACTGTTACTGCTGATGAAAATGTCAGTGATGGATCTGTTATGGTGGATTCACCGAATTCTGGTTCGAATTTACTTTTAACCTTAGCAGGATTAACACTCAGAGCCATTTCATTTCAAATAACTTTGTTAGTTGGCTTTGTCACATTTCCCATATGGTTACTGCATTCATCTTACCTGTTTCTTATCGATCCTTTCGCGATTGTGAGGACTACAAAACGTTACCTGATAAGGAACATTTCAACTCTATTAAAGTTCTGCTTTGGTAATGTCAAAAGGGTTTTGTTTCAATGGATCACAGGAAAAAAATCAACATGGAAGCTATGTCTGCAAATAGGATGGGGATTGTTGTGGTCAGTTTTCATTGGTTTCATTTTGATTGGTTTAGTAGTTTTCTCGCTTGTTATCAGTGGCACAATAATGAAATTCATCACGGAAGTGCCTTTTCATAAAGTCGAGCAATTGAATTTTGATTATACTCAAGATACTCCCATGGCTTTTGTGCCAATAATGTCTTCTCAACAGCCATTTTGTTTGGGTTGTGATGAAAATATAAAAATTGGGGATGTTGCTCAATCACGGATTATACCTCATGATCACAAACTACAGGCTACTGTCTCTTTAACCTTGCCAGAATCATACTACAACAGAAATCTTGGGATCTTCCAGGTATTTAATAAGCTTCTGCTATAGCTGGGTAGACATTAGGAACTACACTGTTGTAATATGATGAAATGTAGTATCATGCATTTATTCTTTAATGCACACATAAATGAAAGTATCTTGCTATATTTCTTGCAATATATAATAAATGAATTAACATTGCTATATTTCTTGCAATTTCACCATTGTAAATCAATCTTTCTTTGAAGGTACGGGTAGACTTCCTCTCAGAAAGCGGAAAATTCCTTGCAACTACAACACAACTATGCATGCTACATTTCAAAAGCCCTCCTATTCGCCTTCTAACGACGTTTTTTAAACTCGCACCTTTAATCACCGGCTACTCATCGGAATCCCAAACTGTAGAAATCAAATTTAGAGAATACACAGAACGGAAAATCCCAACTTCCAGCGTGAAGGTGGTGCTGGAACCACGGGCACAATTTGCAAAGGGCGGCGGTTTGCCGGAAATATACACCGCATTTCTTAAACTCGAGTCGCAACTTCCCTTTTTCAAAAGGATTTTGTGGTCTTGGAGGATAACAATTTTCGTGTGGATTAGTATTGTGGTGTTTACAACGATGTCTTTTTTCGCTTTCCTGTGTTGCTCACCGGTGTTTCTTCCGCGCCTACGGCCGCCAGCTCAGAGGGTGGTGCCGCCGCCGGCTGATAATGCTCCCCGGCGGGGTTCGAAGTAGCTTCTTTGGTCCATATCTTTACTTCCTGGTATGCTGCACAACTATATATATATATATATATATATATATATATATATATATATATATATATATATATATATATATATATATATTCTGTTACAGAAGTGTGCTTTTGATATTTTTTTTGTCTTATTATAGCATTGTACTTTCAATTTCTTTACTTATTATAACCAAGTGAAAATAAATAATTATATAGCATGAAATAGAAGAAATAGCAATGTACATTTATTTCTTTGTATATTATAGGATCATATTTTCATTTGTTTCTGTTACAAAATTGTACTTTCACTTTTTTTTTTCTTATTAAGACAATGTATTTTGAAAATACTACCCATTTGTAGCATTGTACTTCCAAAAAAATTTCTTACCAGGATGTTATACTTTGAAAAATCTACCTAGTTATAGCATTTAAAATCGTTTTCTATTTGGATGACATTGTTGTTATCGGGTAGTTTTTTTCAAAGTATAATGTTGCAATAAGAAGAAATGGAAGTAGAATTCTATGATAAACAATCAGTGCTATTTCTAGCATTTAACCCTAATTATATGTTATTAAAGGTTCTTGTCCATTTGTTTTAGGAAGTTTACTTCTTTTATATATAGAGTAAATTACACGAATGTTCCCTATGGTTTGGGGTAATTTATGCGTTTGGTCTCTAACTTATTTTTTTAACTCGGAAGGTTCCTACAGTTTGTTTTTATTATGTGTTTGGTCCCTATTGTTTGTTTTTGCTATGCGCTTGGTCCCTGTCTTACCTAAAAACAGTAGGGACCAAACGCGCAAATTACCCTAAACCATAGGGACCATTCGCGTAATTTACTCTTTATATATAATAACAACTTCTAACTTTTTCTAGTTTTAGCTACCAATTATAAGTTGTTCCAATTCTACTACTTGGGTTTTATTATTTGTGAATTACCTTTTATCATAAATGAAATGAAATTTATACCATGAGCCAAGTGAAAATAATTACTTCTATATAATTAAAGGGAAAAGTACACACAATAGCAAAATATTTCTTGTCGATTTTCATTTAAGGAATATTTTTTATAGGTAATAGCAACTTACTTCTAATTTCTTCAATTTTATTCCTCACTTTATTGAGCAGAAACACGCCAACAAAGAAGATGGAGAAGAAAATACTCTGGATAAAACCCAAAAAGGTATATATTTATGTATTGGGTATTCAAAATGGATTCTTCATGTATAATCGTAGTGTGTTTGTGATGAAGGTTGAATAATTAGGGTTTGCAATAGCTTTTTATTTGTTAGTATGTATACGGGATGAATTGTATATAAGTCGATGATCACTACTTATATTCAGAAATCAAACAAATTCTGCATGTAAGGTGTTGTATTTTTGTATTTTTTTGGGCAGGAAATACAATATGAATATAGTGTTATTAAACATAATTTGGACTTGTAAAATTGTGGATTAAGATGTTAAGAAATGTGAAAATTACTTCTCTGGATTCAAATGCGCCTATACCTTGTCTCTTATTTCCACAGTTTCTCTAGTAATGTATGCATCTTCATTTGCCTCATTGTTCTTAGCACTATCTACATCCAAACCTAGTTTTTTTAATTCTGTACTTATGACCCAAAGTAAATTTCCCAACGCAGCAATGATAGCACAAACCTTGAGATCATTACAGTTGTAACTCAGAACATAATTGGCATACACTTGAAACTTAAATAGTATAATACTTTTGTTTAATTGTAATTACCTCGACCTTGTTTGTAGTTCAACGCTCATGTAATACTTTGTTGATTAAGAACAAAATTTCTTTTTAATCTTGTCTACAAACTCAACTGCTTGGCTTACATTGTTAAGGGGCTTAGCATTATAATCATTATTAATTAGTTTATTTTTGTTGATCAGCATACTACCTACTAATCAAGTTTCTTGTTTAAAAAGTTAAAGAGTAATATTATTTATAGAGCATAAGTTTGGCAGCCAGAATTTGAGTTAACAAACCCTAAGGCGGTGTTGTTTTTTTTTTTTTTTTTTTTTTTTTTTTTTTTTTTTTTGGAAAAGCTTATTTTAGCATTTATGTCTATAGACAAGAAAATATTTATGTATGTGTGTTCTTGCAGACTCTATGTATTTAAGAAAACCATAGACAACAAATGTATGTGCGATCTTTTCTCCAAAAAGACATGAATTAAAGTCTGAATGGAAAAACATTTCTTGCAAACATCTTGTAGGTAATAAATAAAGATTAAATTCTAATATATATATATATATATATATATATATATATATATATATATATATATATATATATATATATATATAATTTGAGCGCTTTTTTTAAATATTTTTTGAACGACTATATTTTAATCGATTATAAATAATAATGTTTTATATTTTATGACCCAAATATAGAATATCATAAACATAATTGAATATCATAAACATAATTGATAATATCATCATATTTGTGTGTAAATATGACGAAATTTGTTAACGTTACCATATGCGACCATGTTAAATCTAACAGAAAGCACTGGCGGGACGTTATCTCGCCAGAGTCTTGGTCAGATCTCAGTCTTAGCTTGGGCATGCCAGCGTCGGGATAACAAATCATTTTACCTACAAGGAAGAATATTCCTCGAAATCCTCTTATTCTCTCATGACCAATTAGGTCATGACAAAGAGCTTGGTGACACCCAGAACTGACGTCACCTGGCTGTCAAACGGCGTGTGCATACTTCTCCCAGTAAGAAAGTATCACGTCTCACTCCTACATGGGGAGAGTCACCCCATTCCGTTAGCAACAGGTATAAAAAGATCCCTTCCTACCCAAGGAAGGGATCATCTTCTTTCATATACGATTTGTAACATCCCAAAATTCAAGACCGAAAATTTTGTTTTTAATATAGAAAAACACTTAATAACTTTGTTCTAGACATTGAAAACATTTCAATTAAAATAAATATCAGAGTCTAATCCTAAAGATCACATAATGCGAAATAACATGGGTGAATGCGTTGCGATCATCCCGAGTTCCTTTTCTTGAAAACTGGAGATACCTGAAACCAAAACTGTAAACCGTAAGCACGAAGCTTAGTGAGTTCCACAAAAACCACATACCATACATATTTACTAAGCCATACATATCAAACATGTCCATAATCAAATAAGATGCTATGTGTTGCACATAGTCTTACCGTTATGCTACAGGCCAGAACATGGTCTTTCTTACTGGGCTGGGGGCCACCCCCTGGGTCTTACACACAAGTGGCAGGAGCCACCTTCGAGTCTTCCATGCAAGCAATCACAAAGATAACTAGCATACATATCATTCTACTTAGCTACTTAGCATACAGTATGCCAGGAGCCACCTCCTAGTCTTTCATACATATTGCCTAGGGCTAACCCCCGGGTCTTCCTACCATACAAATAGCATGCTGTGTGCCAGGAGCTGCCCCCTGGTTTTTCATGCATAATGCCTAAGGCTAACCCCTGAGTCTTCCTACCATACATAAACTAAATGTACCAGCATTGGTGCCTTAGACCCATACACACAGTGAGGAGACTCACCTCGCACTGTTGAAGTCCTGCAGATAATCCTCTGGTTGCTAGCTGATACACCCAGAACTACTGATCCTTCGGTTCGCCGAGCTACTAGTCATTATATAAGCTAACCAAGTTTGGGATTCTTATAACTTAACCATAAGTCCTCATTGGGGTAAAAGATCATTCTACCCCTTACATACACTTGTCCAGATATGGACTCTACTAAACCCTTATGAACCTATTCCATACTTCATAACCCTCTAGGGTTAACCTTAGACAAAGTCAAAGTCAAAGTCAAAGTCAACATCCTGGTCAAAGTCAACATTCTAGTTGACTTAACTCGTTGAGTTGGTCTATCAACTCGTCGAGTTCCATGATCCATAAAACTCTGGACATCTCGATCCAACTCGTCGAGTTCCTCCTTATACAGAGTCGGGTCATTTCGCTCAAAACTCACCGAGTTCCTCCTTGAAATCGTCGAGTTGTTCAATATTCAAACCTAAAACCATGTCCAACTTGCTGAGTCATCTCCTAGACTCGATGAGTTAGGCCAGTAATAGAAAAGGTTGGGGAACCACAACCCAACTTGCCGAGTTGTATGAACAACTCGTCGAGTCCCCTATAGTCTAAATCCATTCAGTCGTTTCCAGTCGGGTTCAATGCTTCCAAACCATAGATCTGGTCCCCTAGGGTTGATATATCACGTGAAGTTACTAAGTTTACGTCCATGGATAGGTTATTTAACTCAAAAGGCCCTAAAAGGTGGTTCACAAGTTGCATGGGACTCCCATGGCCATAAAGTTGGCACCTTTATGCCATGGAGTCCCTCAACGACTCTAGATCTGAAGGTTCTTTCCATAAGGGACATCCAAATCCCAAAGGCCACCATTATTGAACCAAAACATGGAGAAAAAGCCCTAAAACTAGAGCTAAACACTCAATAAGCAAGGTAAGAGCTTTACACCTCAGGTGGACCAGAAATGAAGCTCTACTTCTGGATCTACTCTTCTCCTTCGCTTCCTTGCTCTTTCTTCAAGCCTCCTCTTCTTCAAAATCTCAAGAAGGTACCAATAATGGCTCAAAACACTAAAAAAACATATTAGGGTTTCGTGGCTAGGGTTTGTGGTGATGGAGGCTACAAATGAGACAGATAGGTGGGGATTAAGATGCTTAAATAGGGTGCAAAACCCAAGATTTAGGGTTTCCCAAACCCATACCAACTCGTCAAGTTGGTCCCTCCAACTTGTCGAGTAGGTTTCCCAACCCGCGCCCCAAATTTGTTCTTACTCGTAGAGTCCTTCTCCTTGAACTCGACGAAGATTTGGGTTTTTTTTCTCTTTCCTTAATTGGCCTTTTGGTTTCCGGGTCTTACACGATTTTACCTAAATCTCTCTAAAAACCAAAGCTGACATCATCGTCGGAGTGATGTCCCGGGAGAACCCCCGGTCGTCCTCTAACGACTCTTCTGCGTTGTGTTTTCTGGTGAACTTCCAAGACCAACTCATCCACAAACGACAGATTCCCTGAAGAGAAATATCACAACATTTGGCGCCATCCGGACGTATCCTCAGAGTGATACAGCCAATAGACGACACTGGTTCTCTCCAAAAGAAGGATCTAAACCCACCAACAATTGAGACAGTAGAAGAAGAGCTGTTTAGGACACCGGTGATAGTAAACGAGGAATATCTCCACGAATGTAGAACACATGCCCCAATGAACCTCCAATACCAACTCATCCACAAACAACCGATTCCCTGAAGAGAAATATCACAACATTTGGCACCATTCAGATGTATCCTCAGAGTGATACATCCAATAGACGACGCTGGTTCTCTACAAAAGAAGGATCTAAACCCAACAACAACCAAGACAGTAGAAGAATATCTATTCAGGACACTGGTGATAGTAAACGAGGAATATCTCTGCGAGTGCAGAACATATGCCCCAATCCAGGTGCTGATGGCGCGGTTCCTGCCAATTACAACAGAAATAGGAGAGCCAGTACTCGAGAGTAGTTTCCGGCAACTATCGCCAGAAGGTTCGCTACCTCAAATGGCAATAACCCATATCAATTTGCTACAGGAACCTCCGTATGATGGCAATGAGGTACTCACTATCTCTAAATCCCGTAAGAGAAATGTAACTCACCATACGGAGGATGAGATAGAGATACTCTCAAGAAATTTACTCAATATCACTTTTTCGAGTAGCGATCCCAAGCCGTTGAATTGGGATCCACGAGATCCACTCTTCATATATGGATTTATTCGCCATACAAAAATTGTAACATCCCAAAATATGACCCAAAATTTTTTGTTTAAATAGTAATAAAAACCATATACTGATCGTCATATCATAAAAACCATACGTCAAATATCTCAACTCATAATAAAATGTCATGAAACAACTGTATCAAATCAAACTATGAATCAAAACAAACTCCCAGGATAAAGACTGAAGCTGTGGTGTGTGCGATGCCATCATCCCGAGCTCTTCCCCTTACTTGTGGAAGTACCTGAAACCAAAACTAAAACTGTAAGCACGAAGCTTAGTGAGCTCCCCCAAACTACCACATACCATAGAATAACATATAAACACGTACTGGGCCTTGCCCACTGCATCGGCCCGAAGCCCGGAAACTGCATCGGACCGTAGTCCGGAACTGACTGGGACCTTGTCCCCTGCATCAGACCGATGTCCGGAACTAGCTGCATCGGACCGAAGTCTGGAACTGACTGCATCAGACCGAAGTACGGAAATAACTGATCATAGCATAACATAAACACATATCAACTAACATAACACACATCATCATAAACTCATATATTGCATACTACGTCAAGCCGTAGCCCAGAACACATAACACATAAATCCTGCCTGAGCCACGAAGGCATCAAACACACTAAAAACTGCATCAGACCGAAGTCCGGAAACTACTACTAACTAAACGGGCCGACATTGTGGCCTTAGACCCGTTCCTACTGGAAGGAAACTCACCTCGTAGCCTAGCTGCTGAAAGGACTGCTCCAGAATCTGTCTGCTGCGTCTCTGGTTTCACTCCGGCTACAATATCCATGAGCACCATCAATCAAATACTGATAATAATACTAAGGGTAAAATGACTCTCCTACCCCTGGTCCAAGTCAACCTAACTGTCAAAGTCAACATTCAGTTGACCTGACTCGTCGAGTTGGGTCGTCAACTTGTTGAGTCCTTACTCTTACTTTCTTGATTCCACTCGCTACTTTTCATCGAGTTTTGGCGCAAAGTCGGCGAGTTCCTCTTCGCTACTAACACTCCGACAATCTGCATCCGACTTGTCGAGTTGTATGAACAACTCGTCGAGTTCTCCTTCATCAGATGATCATTCTAGCTGTGACTCGCCGAGTTGTATGAACAAGTCGTCGAGTCTGTTCTTGAAGTATGAAGATGGCCTTGGACTCGCCGAGTCAAGGCATTAACTCGCCGAGTTCTTCCACAAATGAGTCTAACCCTCTAGCTCACTGAGCCTACCTCTCACTCACTGGTTCCACTCGGCATAACTCGAAAAAGGAAACACAGGGGACTCGCGACTCGACTCACCGAGTCAGAAGAACGACTCACCGAGTTGTATGCATGCAAACATTATATACTCGATTCGGCTTGAAACCAGTCCATACCATTAATAGATCTGGGTTTCTGGGACTTGATTTACACGTAAAGTTTCCAACTTTACGTGTAAATAACATCAAATGAAGGTTTTAAGGTTCAAAGCACACTATAATAGTAGATCTAGAGTTTCTATGCAAAATGGATCCATAAAGGTGCTAGATCTAAGCTTCTGGAATTTAAATCTAGCTAGATCCGAAGGCTAATCAACTCCATGAGTCCTCCATGCTACTACTAAGCCAAGAAATGGTTCAAGAATGGCTTTAATGGCTTCAAAAAGGAGATTTAAGCATAGAAACAAAAAAAGGGCCAAGATATACCTTACTTTCTTCTGAAATTCCTCAAGGATCTACGATCTGCTTCTTCTCTTCTTGATCTACCTTCCTTTATCTCTCAAAATCTTCAAAGAACACACTAAAATCATGCAAAATGCAAAGAGGGCTCTAGGGTTTCGAGAATGATGCTCTGAGGGGTGATGGGGGCTGACTTGTGGCCTCAAAAGTTGTTTA